TTTTCTTGAATCCTCTTATTTGTGCAAACTAGTATCTCCATTCTTATTAGCCTTGCTATCAGGTTCTGTTCCCAAGTACACCATTTTCGAACTTCGATCGTTCAAATTCGTCTGGTAGGTGGCCAAGGTCTTCACGTGAGCCTCACAACCAAAATTCTTGAGGTGGCTGAGCGATGGTTTCCGTCCCTTCCAAGCCTCATAGAGGGTCATGTCTTTTACTCCCTTTGTTGACACTCGATTTAAAATATACACATGACGAAAGGCTTCTCCCCATAGGTCATCTCTAGTCTTGAGTAAAGATCTTGTCGTTTCCAAAATGGTCTTGTTCTGGCGTTTGGCTACGTCGTCTGCTGTGGGGAATATAGTGTGGTCAACTGTCTGTCTAATTCCTTCTCTTTAACAGAAATCGTCAAACAGTCTAGAGTTAAATTCACCTTCTTTGTATGTTCTTAACATCTTTATCTTGAAATTGCTTTTGGATTCCACCTGTGTTTTGAACGTCTTAAATGTCATGAATGGTTCATCCTTATATATGTGCTGAAGTCATCAACAATTAAGAAGAAATATCAATTTTCACATGTTTTTTGTGGTGATATCGGCCCACAAAGGTCAGCATGTAACAACTTTAATGGATTACTGGCACGAAACTGAGTTATGTTTGGAAACAGTTGTTGTCTTTGTTTTACAACAAGACTGTGTTGGGTATCTGATTTTAGGCAATTCTTGTACCATATTTTTCTCCGCTATGAACTCCATGACTCGAAAATTCACATGTCCCATTCTTGCGTGCCATAACCACGCTTCATCATCAATCTTTGCAATAAGACACACAGGTTGTACATATTGATCTTGTATAGTCGTTCCTTGACCATACGTTTCACCTTCATTATCAGCGTATCTCACAAGTAATCATTTTTCATCTTGATTGTGTACCCTTCGTCAGTTAACTGTTCCAAACTTATTATGTCACTTTTCAAAGCAGGAATGTAATATATCTTTGGTATGATAAGTTGTTCACCGATTTTTCAATCTAGCAAAATTGAACCTTTGCAATTGGTACCCTCGAGTCGTTGCCTAACCATATCTGACCCGTTACCCTATCATTTGTCACACCCCTAAACCAGGACAGCAGAAACTTTCGGGGGCGGAGGACGTCATGCTCAATATCATAACCATAGTGAAGAAAGTAAAACACAACCATCATAGATATAATTTAAAAGGTTACATCGTTTGAAAGTTACATGTTTCCAAATAAATTACATATGATGTTAAAATGTAGCAAAAGAATCTACGCCTTAGCGTCTTGACTTTAGAAATCTTGTAGTTGTATTACTGATTACCTGTGAATACAAGTTGTTTTGAAAGAGTATCAGCATAAAGCTGGTGAGTCCATAAGCAATTTATGAAATATAAATGTTGTTTCCTTAAAGTTTGTTAGAAGTTTGTTTCCAGAAAATTTGATATTTTCAAAAAGGTTTGTTGTAGTCTTAACTGAAACAAGACTTAGTATGTGTAAGTAAATCGTCATACTTATGTGTGTGGTTTTGTATTTAAATAAAACTCTTTTATGTAAAGTCGTAGAATTTCCGTGAAATGTATGTTTTGTTAATACCCCATGTGAGATGTTATAACCATACTAAAGACTAGGAGGCCTTGTATGCGACGTTCTTCAAGCGTCGGAATGTTAGGACACTTGTCACCCCAGACTTGTCGGTCTAGTTGTTGCAAGCAGCTTAGGTGCGGGTTTGTCAGACCTAGTATAGATCTATACACAACTATCATGTTCTCCCTCCTGGAGATTCTTGTTATAACTAAAGGAATTTTATGTGGTACTTTGAGTACCCCGAAGGATAATGTCTCACAAATATTCATTAACAAGTTCACATAGCGTGTAATGAAATACTCGTTTTGTAAATCGATAGTGTTATTGTTTTCTTTGTTAAATGAAGTGTTCAAAACTATACTTATTATAGTTTATCGAGAGTGTTGTATGAGGGTATGAAACCTTGTTATGCATGTCTATGTATTTCAATAAAATGACATTGAAAATACTAAGTGTAAATCTTACACACCTTGCTCGACATGTTACAAGGTGTGAATAATCCCTTTTAGTTTGTTTTGACAGTTTTATCCCTATCTGTCACTGTTTTAGAGTATTTATAGAAAAATCATCGTAAGTCAAAAACTGCATCCGTAAACTCGGAGAGTTTGGAAAAAGAGTCTACTATGTTCACAAATTTTCCCATAATTTTTGGTGATCTCAAACCAGTGTGAAAATATTCATCTTCACAACCTGGTCGGATTTTGTTGCTGCAGTGATAGACAATTTTGTAAAAATCATCATAAATTGTAGAAAAATCGTATGGAGATGTGAAAGTAGTCCTTTTAAAGGTATAAACCTGAAACATATTTATATTAAACAGTTTTGAAAAATATTAAGTTTAAGTTGGGTAAAACAGTTCGTGAACAGGTCACAACTTTTCTGTTGTAAGCTGTCAAGTTAAGTTTTGAATATGTTTTGGTGTTTTAACTTGTATTCCCCCCCCCCCCCCTGAAAATTGAAGAAAACTAGAAAATGTAGGGGTATGAACTCACCTTGATTGATTTATAAAGGGAGTGGAAGGTTGAAGTCGAGGAGTATCAAGTCAAGAACACTTGATGAACACACGGAAGCTTGGATGATCCTAAGAACGATTTTTGGTGTTAAGATATGAGTCGATGATCCAAGAGTGTTATGAAATTATGGAATAACACTTGAGTTTAGATGGAATACTTACCAAAAAGTGCAGTAGTAGCTCAAGAACACTTTCACAAAGTGGTGAGAAGTAGAGAGAAAATGAGGCTCTTTTGGTGTTTTGAGAAGTATAAGTGTTTGGAATGATCAAGTAAGCCAAGAAGTTCTCCAAGGATTTCTATATATATTGAAGGTTGCTGGAGCAACTTGTAAGTTTGAAGTGATGTTTACCTTGGGTTGTGTGATGTGGATAAGGTTGGCTAATGAGGAGATGACACATGGAAGGCAAGTGGGCACACTTGACCCACTTGTGGTGTAAACATCCTTAGATATTTCTTTAAATGTAAAATATTGATTTATAATTAATAAATCCTTGATAAATGAATAAAATATGAGTTTTGGGGGTTAAAAATGGTAAAAATATAAATTTGGTGAAAAATCTCCGTCAAAAAACGGGCTTAGGAAGCGAAAGTAGTCGAAAACTGGGCATTAAGGACCGAACCTGCGAGGTTCGGCTCTTGGAAGTGCTGAGGACCGAAAGTAGTGAAGGAACCGAGAGAAGGGAGAAGGGACCGAAGGTGGGGGTCTCGGTCCGAAATGTGAAGGAAGCGAAATAGACCAAGCCATCGGTCTATTTCGGTTGTATCAAGGTTCGGTTCGGTTGAGGTTCGGTCCGAGGAGGGCAGTTCGCTTCTGACAAGTTCGGTTCTGACAGCTTCGGTTCCGAGAGGCTTCGGCTCCAATAGAAGGGTCCGGCTCTAAGAGGTTCGGTTCCTAAGAGGTTCGGTTCTTAAGAGGGTTTCGGTCCTATTTAGCTGTTTTTCAATATAACTTCCCGTTTTGAGCGGTTTTTGACCAAGTTAAGGGTCGGGATGACCCGGGTGACTATAAAAAGTTGGCAGAGATTTGGGAGAGATTTGTTTTTAGTCATTATTATTGTATAATCTCGTAATGCAAGGTTCGTGAACCTCGTTATGTTTCGTTTATGATTGTTTTAAGTCCCCGAAAGCGTTCTTAGTCGTGTTTTGAAGTATTTAACTCCCTTTTTAGGGTTTTACATTGCTAAACACACAGAATATCTGAAACACTTGAATTCTTGGCATACTAATACACATTTTATAGAATAACTTTTCACATACAAGTATTGGTTAAGTTTGACCGGTTTGACTTGTTGACTTATTGACTTTGACTTATTGACTTTGACTTTGACTTGGATTTGACGGTTGTCACATCATTGAGCTTAGCAAACATATCTCCCCCCTGTTATGTTATTGCTCGCTCAATTGTCGAGATACCGTCGGTTCTTCCCGCTTTCTTCATGACGATTGGGAAAAACTTTTTCTTCATTTAGCAACACCTTTGTGCTCTCATTCTCGCCACACACTATAAGCAACGATGCATGTTCGTCTTCCTGCATTTCTTATTACCATAATTCTCATAAGTTTTATGTATCTTTAGTAATATTGTTAACCCTCTACCCTTTTTTGTTGCATTCTATCATTTATTTATTTGGTTGCAATGATTTTTCATGATTCTCTGCTCCTTTTGCTAAATTCTCTAAAATTCACGGTTAACTAAACATATAGCAAATCAGGATAAGAGATGTAAACATGACAAGATTCTCTAAAAATCTTGCTTGATTGATTCTAAAATCACGTGAAAGAGATGCAAGGAACTCACATGTGGGGGTGACGTATGTGGGCGGACGAGTGGTTAGAAATCACTCTCAACCAATACAACCTCTGTGTTCTTTGTATAATTAGTATGTGATGGTAAAAATGAAAGAGTTTTTAAATAAGATTAAAGGGTTTTGTTCACCGTGCATAACAAGGTAAATGTTGGGCAAAGAAATTTCTTTTGCAAATCTTTTTTCAAATGATGTGGCTAAGCTACATCACCACCTTTCTTTCTATTTTAACAAGACTTGCAAAATGCTTATGTTTGGCTGACTAGCCGAAAAACAAGTTAGTAGTAAAAAGCTAACTGCTAATGGTAGCTGATAAAAAATAATGTTTGGTAAAATATATTGTGTGTGAGGTAAATCAAGTATCCTGACTGTTTGTTAATATCATAAAACTGCTAAACAAAACCATAGATAGGGGAAAGGGAACCAATAACAAACCCCTACATTGTTATTTCCAAGCCTCGAAGCAATATCACGCCATTACGAGATAAACCTAGAAAGATTAAATCATACTATAAAACGAGATCACTCCATTACGAGATAAAACCACTAATAAACAAAGTTTACACAAACACAAAAACCCTATTCATTTTTCCAAGCATACAACACCAAAGAAAAACCAAGACCTTGTGATCGTGAATCTTTACCCAACGAACTCGACCAACTTACCCCTGAGTGATCCGAACCCGAACCAGAACCCCACAATTTCTCAGCCGAAAGACAAGTTTGAAACAAAAACACCGCATTCCCCATAAAATTACCAAAAAACCAACCATAAACATCCCAATAAACCTCAACCGGCAATCCATCGATCAAAATAGTGCAGTTTCCCCTAAACTTCCATCGAAGTCGCTTCACTTGCAACACCAATTTACCATCAATACGTATCAATAAACACGGGTCATTAGTGCTAACTGTATCACACTCGATCAATACCTCATGTACTTGTCCCTTACCACAAAACTGGGCTGTCGTTGCATACACTTTTTTACCAAAAATATGTTCTTTTTTCGATACGAAAACAGAATTCGGTGAAGAAGTCATCACATGATTCATCTTTTTGTACACTTCTTTCTCCATGTCACCCAGTAACAAGATCAGTTCTTGATTGACAGTGATGGCAAAATAGAAACCCTCGATCGGTTCAGGGGAAGAACCGAATTTAGCAGATGAAAGATCCCAAAAGACGTGGATTGAATTTGAACCCATTTCCATGGTTTTAAACCCTTTTCTTTTGGAGAACAACCATGGTTTGATTTCGAGTTTACAGACAGATTGAGTACTGGAATCATCGATTTCAACAGAAAGAGCTTGACCCATTATGTTTTTAGTCCAAGTTGTCGTGACGATGAAGCAACAACTGTGTAATTTACACTGGTAAACACAAGTGACAAGATTCTGTGCATTTCTATCGGTGGAAACACCTGACGAAGAAGAAGACGAAGACGCATCGGCAATTTGAACACCATTTTCACCGAAACAAGAAGGGAAATCCCTCATTCTTAACATCTAACCCACAATTCCGCAACTGGGTAGTGATAATCTTTGAAGGGTCCCCTTAAATTTGACTTACAAGAGTCAAGGTTACTCGAATGGAATGGGAAAGGAGCTTTGGGATAATCTTTGAAGGGTACCCTGAAGTATGTCTTTATAAAAGGGTCGGGATTTCTTGATTGAAATGGTATTGGATTGGTTTATGTGAAGCTTTGTAGAGAATATCTGAAGGGTGCCCTGCAATTTGTCTCACCAAATATCAAGATTTCTTGAACGTGCACATGAAGCTTAAAGGATTTGTGAGCAATCTATGAAGGGTACCCTTAAATTTCGACTTACAATCTGGTCAATAGTTTCTGAAATTTGACTTAGAAAAGGGTCAAGATTTATCGAATGAAAGGGGCATTGGTGTACATGAAGCTTAAAGAAGAATTTGTAGGTGAATTTCTGAAGGGTATCCTGAAATTCGACTTACAAAAGGGTCGATATTTAAAAGGACATTGTGTACATGAAGCTTAGATTGGCAAAGGGTTCAAGATTTCTTGATTTTTTTGAACCTAGAAGATTGCCTTACAGAATGGACAAGATTTCATGAAGAGAGAAATGAGTGTAGGGTGCATGCAGATCAGACTGATAAAATACGAATAATTCTTGATGTTCTGTAAAGAAAGCTTCCATGTCTGAAGAAATGGGGTTCACAGGCCTTCATGAAGAAAAAGATAGCAGCTTTGCAATGAACTTTCTCTCTCACACATAAATACACAGAGTTGTAGTGAGGGAGAATTCGAATGAGTTTGCTTTTCATGCTTTAGTTTAGGGCCCCCTTTTTATGATTGGTGTTTCTTTATTGTCTCAATAAATGGCGTTTGCTCAACAATATCTTTGCTTAAGAATGTAAATAACAATAATGAAAGGCATGTGAAAAAAGGAACATCTATTAATCGGGGTATTATGGGAACTAGTTTTTGGACCCTTGAAGATAAAGATTTTCCAATTGGCGGACTTGGATGTTGGATCCATCAACTTTATCTGTATCAATGGATATTTTAATCGTTAGTTTTAATATTTGTAATTTATAATCGATGGTATGATAGATCTATAAACTATGATCGCTGATAGATCTATAAAATGTTGCAAATAAAGTTGAGGAGTTGAGGTTATTAATTAAGGGCGTGATAGATCTATAAACTTGTGAGGAGTTAGAATTACGACAAATTATATAAAATACAAAATTTATAATACATAAAGTTTATACAAAATTTGATTGAGAGATTTTTACGTTGTGTTTTATTTTTTTCAATTAAGTCATTAAGTTTATAGTTTTGCTGCAATTTTAGGAGATGCTAATGTAGACAACTTTCATTGTCTTGCTTACATCATTGTAAGATAATAAACCACTTGAGCGACCTTGATAAGTCATTGCACAAAATCGTAATGCTCTACGAGAAGAAAAAACCAAAGAAATAAGAGAAATTGAGTACAGATCTACGTAAAGGTTCAATTTAACCCAAATATTTGCTAATTAGGAACATATATGTAAGCCACATCAAGTTTTTGCCTAGTCAGCAAGTGAGAAACATGAAACTCCTGAAATAAACCGATTGGTTAAATTTACAACAAAATTATAAACTTAGTGATTGAGAAAAAAATAAAAACAATATCAAAATCAAAATTTTATATAAACTTAATGTGTTTTATACAATTTGTCCTTTGAGGTTATATCAAAATGAAGGTATGAAGAAGGACTTCATATACATATAAATAACTTTTTTATTTTGAGTTTGGACAAAATTTATGGATAGAAATATCGAGTAAAACTAATTTTCTTTTCAACATAAGCAAACAAGAGGCATGGTTTATATTGCTTCATTTTGAGGGAGTGATAGATTTATAAATACTATGTATACTAATAACTGAAAAAATATATTTGTATGTATATGATGTCCTTAATATGTCCCACTAAAATTTATAGAGTTTCATGCATTGTTGTAATAAAATGAGAGTCAAATAAAAAAAAATGACGATGTTACAATTCATTAAACTCTATAAATTTCAATGTATTGCCCTTAGAAAACTACAATTACTTTAATTTTCTTTCAAGTCTCGTATATTTCGACGCTTAACTGTTATAGTATTCCATTGCCCCTAGATATATAGAGATATAAAATCTATATTATTTTTTAGTTAGCTAATATATTTTATTAAATATATAATATAAAAATAGATATACTATATATTTTACAAATGTTGTCATCTTTCTTGGATAGCAAGCATGAATATCTTCCGAATCCTACGGTGTTTTTTTATTTTACTTAAGAAAATGCAAGGAATATCTTCCGAATCCTACGGTGTTTTTTTATTTTACTTCCGGGTTGAAAAGCAAGCATGATTATTATTAATAATCATGTACGTGACAGTTTTCGCATAGAGAGTAACATGACATTTTGGAAGGCTGGAAATGTATTATAGATAAGTTATTTAAAATTCGCTCTAATTGAAAATCAAGAGCTTTGTCTATAGGAGATTGTATCATTCTTATTAAGACAGTTCTTGGAAACTTGGGTGGATATTTTTGTCTATTTTTGAAGCATCGATTACCATTCTTAACCTTTTGGAATTTATGTGTGCTGGCATTTTTGGGGGTTGTGACCCCGGAGATCGGAAGATATCTTGGGTTAAATAGCATCTAAAGATGAGGGTGGTTTGGAGATTGGAAGTTTATTCGCGGTTGATAACGGAGATTTTCAACAAACCTAACGGGTTATGGACTTCTATTATTATGACTATTCATGGTTTGATGGGTGGATCTGATTAAGTGGGAAATCAAATCAAATTTAAAGAGTCAGGAGCGAGATTATTGGAACCATTAAACATATCAAAGTAGAAAATATTTATTTATACATGTTTTTAATAAGAAGGTGGTAAATGAAAATCCTACAAAATTTTGGAACGATCATTGGAGTGATGAGTTTACTTTTCGCGATAGATTTCAACAACTTTATGCTCTTGAAGTTGATAATGATTGTTTGGTGAAAGATAGGCTCTATCATGGGAGTTAAGGTGGAAATGGTGTCGAGGAGAAGTGGAGGAGATTTAGAAGAGCTCCAATTATGTATTTTCAGTTTTCCTGGAACAGATGCAGATGATATATGGGTTTGGAAGCTTGGTGGTTACGAATTTTCCTCCGTTTCTTTGGGTCGTCATTTGACTATACTTGCACTTTAGTTAAAAGGAGGAATTACAGCTCATTGGAATAAGTTTTTGCATATAAGATTAAATGATTTTGGTATCGTAGTATTCTTGATCAGTTGCCTACAAATGTCAACCTAAATACGAAAGATATAGATGTTGATTCGCTTTTATGTTTGATATGTGACAGTAATGTGGAAGCTTTGGACCATATTATCGCCACATGTCCTTTGGTGATTTCTATTTGGCATCAGGGAAGATGGCAGACTAGAAATCATATTTAATGGGTTGAGAAGTTAAAAAACATGTATTCAACTTTTTATTTTCTTGAAATTCTTTCTAGTACCTTGCTAGTTTCTCAAAAAATTCAACAATTCTAAAAAAATTATCTTATTGTTATCATTTATAACCAACCTTATATATATATATATATATATATATATATATATATATATATATATAGGCTTAGGTTATTCTATTCAAAGTAATTATTGTGTTATTGTATGCATAATTGTGGGCCAATCAAATTTACTTATTTTAAGAAAGTGATTAATATATATTATTGAATTAAATATAATTGAAAAATATCATCTTAATTAATTACAAGGGTAATTTAGTCAATTAATATAGATTTAATAAAGGAAAATTGCATTTTTTTAGGGATCATAGATTCTATTAATTTTAAAAATCCGATTTTACGAATTATAATTCTTTTAATTCGGACATTCTGACAGAATATGTTTATGAGTATATTCAAAAATAAAAATATTCTTGAACCATAAATAATAAAAATATTATTGAACATATTTCTTGATCATGACTTTAAAAACTTCTTGTAGAATAACAAATTCTTGAACAATCAATTGACGGATAAAAACAAAAAATACATTATTTCTTATAGAATACGGGTAACAATTGTTAAGAATTACATTTATTGTTAAAGAATAAAACTAAAAAAACTTTCAAAACGGGAAGGAAAACATCAAAATCTAACAACGACACTAATACATTCTAAAAGAATAATGTTGCTTAGAATCACTTTCAAATTTGTGGTCCGTTCTTCAAGCATCAACTTCTGTGAAAACAAAACAAAATTGTAGTTTAGATTCCAATAATGCATTAGCAAATGAAAAATAAAAAACTAAATTCATTTGGAAAAAGATGTGGACTTGTGAATTGCACCAAAACCAATAAACAAGAATTGTAGAACATGCATAAATCAGTGAGAAAATATCCATACTTCATTCCAACAGAATTAGAATTCATGATTTCATTCCAACAGAATTTGAATTCGTAATTTCATTCCAATAGAAATGGAATCTCACCAATATCATCCATTGAATCATCTACATAAACAAATTAATTCCAAATGAAAGAAGCATTAAAGCATCTATGTATTTTACTAATCGTTCTAGACTTGTACAATTCTAATTCAAACATAACTAAAAATGAAATATAGTCAAACAACTCAAAATTAAAAGTCTAAGTCTAATATATTAATTGAAACCCTTTCTTATCAATTCTAATTGAAAGCCAACTTGCCTACTGCCCACTAAACAAATCTTTCAATCCAATTCGGATTCAAACCAAGTTTAAAACCCCTAAAATTATTTCATGCTTAGATGGAAGTTTGAAGCCAAGACATTGGAAAATAATTAATACCATCGATGGTGTATCATTATCAACCAATCAAACAAACTATCATTTGTATCAATTATCAAACAGAATCTGAGTTACATAGATGGGGGAACTGAGAAGTTGAGTTCTTAAATTCTAAAAGAGTGTAACTGGATTCAAATAATGAGATAAAGATTTGA